TAATATAGCCCAGGCTGGCCTTGAACTTAGGGCAACCTTCCCGTCTTGCCTCTCTTAGGCTGGGTTTATTGACATGTGCCACCATACCTGGCCTTTTCCCTATTTTTAAAGTGAAGAAACTGAGGTTTGAAGTGATTAAATTACTTGGCATCAGATAGCTAGTAGATGAATGTCTGATTACAAAATATATTGTTCTTTGGGTGTGCATGTGTTTGTGGTGTTCATGTATGTGGAGGCCAGAGGTCCATGTCAGGTGCCTTCCTTGATCACTCTTTACCTCATCTTTTTGAGATAGGGTCTCTCATTGAACTTGGAGCTCATTGATTGGCTAGACTGGCTCATTAACAAGTCCAGGGATACTTATGTCTCTGCCCCTTCTGTAGGGCTGGGGATACATATGAATGTTACAGCCAGGATTTTTCCTTAATAGGTCAGTGCTAATGTGTACATCAAATTATAATAGAAAGACAAAGCAAGATGCAGCATCTCTCATTCTTAAACAACACACTGTTACAGTAAACAGAATTTATGTCCCACCATCAAGTGTGGTTCACCCATTAGTTCACTTTGTGATGGATCATTAAGAATATCTTGGGAACCGGAGAGATGGCTCAGTGGTTAAGGGCTCTGGCTTCTCTTATAGAGAACCTGTGTTTGGTTCCCAGCACCCACATGGCATCTAATAATTGTCCTTAACTCCAGTTCCAGGGGATTCAGTGTCCTCTTCTGACCCCTGTGAGTTTGCATGCATGCGGTGCACTTACATGCATGCAAACCACACACATAAAATAAAAACAAATATCTTAAAATCCAATGGTCTCATTTCGCCTCAAAATATCCAATGAAAGGTTTGAGCTTGAAAGCAATGGAAGATGCTGAATCTGCTGTAGTGCTTTAAATTCCATCTGTGATTTCAGTGGAGCAAATAGATCCTGGATGTTTCTCAGTGTGGAGAAACACATGTTATCTTGGATGAACTGGAATTTTTTTTTCTGGTAATTCAGGGGGTTAACTGGGCAGAAGTTAATTTTTACACAAGATAACATTTTCTAAAGATTATGAGATTCAAAAGGACACTTTCTGGAATACTGTCTTTTACTGGTGATCCAGTCAGCTGGTACTCAACCTCAGCCCACTATGTGAATGGTGGCTGAATTTTGTCAGGGGTTTTGGGGATCTGCACTCAGGTCCTCGTACTTGCATGGGAGGTACTTTGCCAACTGAGCCATTTTCCCAGTCCCAGAACATTCATTCTTTACTCTGGTACTAGTTTACTAGATCTACTGCAACAAAGTACCACAAAGTAGATAGCTTCAAACGAACAAAAATTTATTTTCCTTCCTGGTATGGTGGTGCATTCTGGTAACCTCAGCATTTGTGAGGCAGTGGCAGGAGGATTACCTTAACTTTGAGACCAGCCTGGTTCTACACACTGAATTCCAGGTCAGCCTGGGCTATAAACTGGGACCCAGACTCAAAAGTTAAAAAAAAAAATACAGGGCTGGAGAGAGGGCCCAGTGGTGAAGAACTGGCTGATCTTGCAGAGGACTTAGGTTCAGTTCCCAGCACCCACATGGAGGCTCACTACTATCCAGTAACTCTAGTTCTAGGAAGTCGGATGCCTTCTTTTGGCCTCTGTGAGCATTGCATGCTCAAGTGCACTTAACACACATGCATACAAAGCACTCATACACATAAAAACAAACAAAAAATATATGTATAAAAGCTGAACAAACTAGTACATGCCAAATGTAATCCCAACATAAAAGGTGGCAGTAGAGAATCAGGCATTCAAGGACATCCTCAGTTACATGGGCTACATGAGACCATGTCTCCAGAGAAAAAAGGAAATATACTCTCTTAGTTCAGGAAGGTCAGAGGACTGACATTAAGGTTTTCTCCAGGGGCTCCAAGGGAGCTTCTACATAAAGTTTCTCTCCTGACTTCTACCAGTGACTGACAGTCCTTGGCCTTTCTTGGCTTGTAGCTACAGTTCTCCAATCTTTGCTTCTGTGCCATCTGGAATTTTCTGTTTTTTCCTCCTAACCCATGTATTCATTGTTTTGGTCTTTTAGAAACAAGGTCTCCCCGTGTGCTGGATAGCTTTAGTGTCAATTTGACACACCTGGGTTGAGGGAGCCTCAATCAGGGAATTTCCTCTATTGGACTGGCCTGTGGCCATGTCTGAAGGGCATCTTCTTGATGAGTGATTTGGGAGGGCCCAGCGCACTGTGGGTGGTGCCACCCCTGGACGGGTGGGCCTGTGTTGCATAAGAAAGCAGGCTGAGCAGGGGCCAGGGGAGCAAGCCTATAAGCAGCGTTCCTCCATGGCCGTTGCTCCAGCTCCTGCCTCCAGGTTCCTGCCCTGAGTTCCTACCTTGGGCTCCCTGATGAACTGTGACCGGAGATGTAAGCCAAATAAACCCTTTCCTCCCCAAGTTGGTATTGTTAGGGTTCCAAAGAGCAGCAGTTTCCCCCGTCCCCAACAGGGACCTCACCTGGGAGATGTAAGACAAATAAACCCTTTCCTCCCCAAGTTGGTACTGGTCAGAGTGTTTTGTCACAGCAATGAAGAACAAACTAAGACACCCTGTAACTCAGACTTGTCACAACTCACAGAGCTTTCCAGTGCTGGGATTAAAGGCGAGCACCACCATACCCAGCAAATCCATGGATTCTTAAACTGTGGGTCATGTAATTGAATATGAGGGGGGGTCACAAAAAATTGATAACAGTACAAAGTTTCTTTTATTTTCCAGACAGGGTCTCACTATGTAGCCTTGGAAGACTTGGAGCAGGCTGGCAATAAACTCATAGAGAGCCACCTCCCTCTGCCTTCCAAGTTCAAGGATACTTTTGGTTACATGGTAAGTTTCAGGCTATCCTAGGCTGCAAAATGAGAGCTCGTCTCAAAAATTTTTAAAAAATGCCGTATCTTAACCCATTATGATTATATTAAGGCCTACCATCATGGTCTAATTTTAACTGCAGAGATCCAGCGATCACAGATTTGGGGGATTTGGACTTTTGGGGTTTTACTTTTTTAGGGGACACATCTAACCCTAAATAACATTTATTGCAAAACTTCCCCCAAATCTCCATGGTAGTTTTTCACTTAATTTTTTTCACTTACCTTAAGCATTCTTACCATAAGGAACAATTACGTGTGTTCTGTCTTCTGAAGTCCTTCAATGAACAATGCTTTTCAATGTGTGGTCCTGGCCCAGGAGAACTGGCATCATCTAAGAATTCGGTAGACATGAAGAATCTCAATCTTCATCCCAGCTAGTGAATCATAATCTGTATTTCAGCAAGATTCCTAGGTAATCTTAACATTGTATGAATGTTAAAGTTTAAGAAGTACTAATCAGCTGGGCATGGTGGTGCATGCCTTTAATCCCAGCACTTGGGAGACAGAGGCAGGTGGATCTCTGTGAGATCTTGGCCAGCCTGGTCTACATAGTGAGTTCCAGGCCACCTGAAGATACAGGGAGACCTTGTCTCAACCCCCCCTCCCCACTTCTTTATGGCTACTAAGAAGTAAATTGGGGAACACACTGTAGGAATTTTTTGAGACAGGATCTCATGTAGCCCAGACTTCCCGGACCTTTTGACAATTAATCTGCCTCACCTGGCTTGTTAAATTCATTTTTGGTCTGTTGATGCTTATAAGGTATTTGTAATTATGTCTTCATTATGGAAAATTTGGAAAGTATAAAAAAGTCTTAAAAGAAAAGAAAAGAAACCCAAGAAAATTACTGACTATAATTCTACCATCTTCAATTACTGCTGTTAATACTGTGAAATATTGGACATTTTCTTGCTAGCAGATAAAGGTCAAACCGCATGTGCGTGGTGTATGCATTTACACATGTGGTGGACAGAGGATGATGCCAGGTGCCCTTCTCATTTGTTCACCAACTTCTTTTTTGAGACACGGTCTGCCACTGAAAATGAAGCTCATTAATTCAGCCAGGAAGCCGCAGGGATCTTTTCGTCTTTGTCTTTCCAGCACTGGAATTACAGATATATGCTACTACACCCAGATTTTTACATGGGTACTGAGAATGGAACTCAGGTTCTTGTGCTTGTGAGACACATTTTACTGATAGCCATTGCTCCAGCTCCCATTTTTGGTTTTTGTTATTTTGAGACAGGATCTAATGTAGCTTGGGATATACTGAAACTTGCTCTGCAGGTAAGGATGGCTTTGAACTCCTGATCCTCCTGTCTCTACCTCTTGAGTGCTTGAGACCACTACTTGGACATGGCAGAAAAGCCAAACTCTTTTTAAAAAAATATTTATTTTATTTACTTTTTGTGTACGAGTATATTGCCTGCATGTGTGTAAGAGCACTCATGTTGTGCATTGCCTACGGAGGTCAGAAGAGGGTGTCAGATCCCCTCGAACTGGTGTTCTCAATAGTTGTTAGCTGTCATGTGGGTGCTGGGTTTCAAACCTGGATCTTCTGCAAGAACAGCCAGTGTTCTTAACCATGGAGACATCTCTCCAACCCCAAGGCCAAACTCTTAATGTGCTTAAACTTTATATACTGATGACTCTTTTTGAAACAGGCTTTTGTTCTAGCTCAGGCTGTTCTGGAATTCAGTATGTTGCCCAGACTGGTCTTAAACTGGACACAGTTCTCTTCCTTTAGCTTCTCATGTGTTGGTATTATAAGGCATGAGCCACTGTGCCTGTCTCTGCTGATGATATTTTAGTACTCAATTTTTATTACTTCATGCTCTTATGTGATTAAAACCCAGGAAGGACACATACTTCTGAATTTTAAAGCTTTAAAATGCCATTCCTCTATAACAACTACTTGGTACTTACAGAACTGACTGGCACTTTCATTATTAGACCAAATGCTCAAGGTGGCAGTTTGAATCCTAGAAAATTACATTTACTCTTCAGTATGCTTAATTTATGGCTCATTTTGTATTTTTTCGTTTCCCAGTTTCAAATCTTAAACTTCCTTTTTTTTCCTTTTTTACAGTCTGAATTAAAAAATTATACTTTGTACCCCTTCAACCATGTTGATATTACCATTACATATCACCGAGAAAGTGACACAAATTGGAATTTTGCAAGATTGGTTAGTTCCACAATTGAACCCAAAAGGTAATTATAGAGTTTTGTTTTTAATTAGTGCTAATGATTTTAAAATTGATTTAAAATTTAGAGATTCTTAACTTGAGCTCTTACTTTCAGGATGTGTGTGTGTGTGTGTGTGTGTGATGTAATCTTACATAATGTCTTTTGAAACATTAGTTTTGCTTCTTGCTTCCTCTAGTGTCTGAGTGCCACACAATGCGAGGAAGAATTAAGAGTAAGAGAACATTCTGAGTATTCATTTAGTTGCTGCCTTATGACAAAGGGGTTGCATTTGGATTTTTGTTTGTTTGTTTGTTTGTTGTTTGTCTCACCCATGTTTCTGCGTTTGAGGATAGAACCGGCAGACGAGAAGCTGCCAGCACCAAAGACATGAAGCCGGGAATAGATTTGTTTTTCTTGAAAGGCAGGTCTAGTGTCAGTAGATTCTGTTTAGGAAAGTATCAGGTGACTATAAGAATCTGCTAATGATTAAAGCCATCTTAAAAGCTGGTAAACAGCCTGAAGAATTAATGAGTACTTTAATCCCTAGACAGAGGTAGGTAGAACCTAGATGACCCAACTTATAAAGAGATTGCACAATTAGGATTTACCATTGCATCTAGGCCCTAGTACTTGCCTGATGAATTGTAAAGAGCAATTCTGCTTGAGTAGGAGATTGTACAAGAAACCTTTAAAGTTGCAACTATAAGGTTCTTTAAAATATTGGATACTATTAATTCTGTTTTATTAAGGGAGTTAAAAAGGGGAATATGTCACACAATGTAGAGACTCATGATCCATTGTGGCCACAATAGTGCACAACCTAGAATACTTTGAGGGAGAAAAATTTCCCTAGTAAAAGTGACAGATTAAAAGAGCAGGTGTGCTGCCCAGTGTGGTGGTGCACAGTTTTCATCTCAATGCAGAGATCATAAGGATGCTTATAAAACATATGTATATCTCCTTTATCAAACACACACCAAGCCTACACAATTATCTGGATAATTCAGTGACATGAGAAGTAATAGGCATAGTTCTTGTGTTTCAATGATGATGATCTGTTATCCAACCTCCCTCATTATTCCCTCATAGCCTCTAGCCATCACCATCATACTTTATGGTTTTTTTTTTTTTTGAGACAAGGTCTTGTGTAGTCAAGGTGTAGCTGAATATGGCCTTGAAAGCGTGATCATCTTGCCTCTGCCCCCCCTCCACGTGCTGGGATTACACACTTGTGCCATCAAGACATGCTTTTTGCTGGTTCTTCTTTTATATAAATTTGTCAGTTTTTTGGTCTTTTTGAGACAGGGTCCCAACTGGCCTGGAACCCACTATGCAGACTAGGATGGTCTTGAACACACAGAGATCCACCTGCCTCTGCCTCCCAAGTGCTGGGATTAAAGGCATGCATCACTATGCCCAAATTTATCACTTTAAATTTAATTTTTAAGGTTAGAATGCAAAGTAATGGATTTCATCATAGTATCTAGACAGATATATTGTCATATTTTGTTCTCATTCACCCCTCCCCGACTGGCTCCCTCCCAGCTGGCTCCCTCCCTTCCTCCAGTTAGTCCTCTCTTCTGCTTTCCTATTATCCCATTTCCCACCTTCCTAAAAGGTCTCTTCCTCTCCTCTCATGATCCCGTTCTAGTTTCATAAACTACAGACATACACTAATATACACACATACATATTTTTAATTTTAAATATGTGTTCCTCCTGTGACAGAAAACATAGTATTTGTCTTTCTGAGTCTGGTTTATTTCACTTAACATATGATTTCCAGCTGTTTCTATTTCCTTTCATATGCCATGGTTTTATTTTTCTTTATGATTACATCAAATTCCATTGTGTATATTTACCATTGTTTAATCCATTCATCTGTTAATTGACATCTAGATTAGTTCTATGTCCTGGTTATAGTGAGTCATGCACAACAGACAAATGCATGAAATTATCTCTATGGTACACTGACTTAGAGTCCTTTGCAAACACACCTAAGAAAGCTAAGGCTAGGTCATACAGTAGCTCTATTCTGATTTTTTTAAGGAATTGTCACATTCATTTCTATTGTGGCTGCACAAGTTTACATTTGTACCAGCACAAAGTAAAATGTTCCACTTTCCCGAATCTCCTTGCCAGCATTTGTTGTCATTTGTTTCTTGATAACCGTTATGTCTTACTCTGTAGTCTAAGCTAGCCTGGAACTTACTATGGAGACCAGGCTGGCCTCAAATGCATAGCAATCACCTGCTTCTGCCTCCTGAGTGCTGGAATTAAAGGTATGTTCCACCATGGCAAGCTTCAGTCAACTTTAAGATGAGCTATCTTAACTTTCATATATGAGTATAAATGTGGTATTTATTTTTCCATGGCTGGCCTATTAATATAATTTTCCCAACTTTCATCCATTGTTCTTCAAATGACAGGGTTTCGTCCTTTTCATTGCTGAATAATATACCATTATGTATATGTGTGACATTTTCTGAATCTCATAATGGACATACCAGTTGATTCTTATGACTTGTGCTTCAGTAAGCATTGGAGTATAGGTGTCTCTGGTATACAGACTTCATTTCCCTTGAATATATACCCAGAAGTTGAGTAGTTGAATCATATAGGAATCTCGATGTGTTTTTCCATAATGGACGCATCAATTTACATTGCCATTAGTAGTGTGTGTTAGTAGTGTCTTTCCTTGCTAAGCATGCTACTTTATACATAGCCCTCACATATCTGGGTGCTTGTAAATATGATTTCTTCTTCAAGTACTTAATATTCTAGCCCTATAGTTAATATTACAAGATAGTATATAGAAGAGGGATGAGATGAAAGAAGAAAAAAGTCACTTGTGGTAGAATGCATTTTCTTTCTATTCACAGGCAAAGGAATGTTCTTAAGTATGAAATTCTAGGCGGTATATGGAGTCCAATTTCAGGGTTGGGAACATTTAGAAATGAAAGTATTTTAAATTATAAAGAAGTATAGCTGAGTATGGTAGTGCCTTTGTGTAATCACAGTACTCCGAGTTAAACTGTGAGGCATGAGGATGGTGGGTTTTAAATGAACAACATAATGGAAAGCCTATTTCATTTTTTTTTGTCTTTTTGAGACAGGGTCTCCCTTGTAGCCCCAGGTGGCCTGAAACTCACTATGTAGACCAGACTGGCCTCAGTTCCACAGAGATCTGCCTGCCTCTGCCTTGTGAGTGCTGGGATTGAAGGCATGCACCACCACACCTGGCTTGGAAAGCCTATTTTTTCCAGCCTGCTGTTGCATATCTGAATAGCCATGAACTGGAAAATTTTCATCCATTTTATGTCAAAATTCCCTTCCTGATTTTCTCTTTTATTAGCTATAAACATTCAGATGAAAATGACCTGACTTGCAGTGGACCGCCTATGGAAATTCCTGAGGAAGATACAAATACCTTAAATGTGATCTACACATACTCTGTCAAATTTGAGGCAAGTATTCTATGCTATCATATTAATTTGTTATTAATCAGGTATATAAATATATATTTCATATTAAAGCTGAAACTTTCATCAATTTAATGTTGTAGGACTGGGGTTGTATTCCAGTGATGAAGTGGTTGTCTAGCATGCATGAGGCCCTGGGTTCCTTCTTTAGCAACACACACACACACACACACACACACACACACACACACACACACACTAAAAACGCAGTTTATATTCCAGAAATGAGATAAATTTTTTGTGTAAGAACAATTCAGTGGAGAGTCACAAAAGGTGTTGCTGTATTAACTCCACTACATTTCAAAGGCTGCCAGGTACTTTCCTTTCCCTTCCTTTCTATTGAGGTACATGGGACATCAGAGATGCATTCCCTTGGATTGGCAGGCTAGTTTGATTGTGCAAGTGGGACCTTAAAGAAAGACTGGTTCATGAAAGAGTCATGCTCTAGTGTAGTGAGTAGAATGCAAATATTGGAACCAGAACACCTGTTGAAACTGAGGCTTTACCATTTACTAACTGTGATCTTGGGTAAGTCACATGATCTTAGCTTCTCATCATTTTTCTTTTGAGACATGGTTCCATATAGTCCAGTCTGGCCTTGAACTTCTGATCCTCCTGGCCTCACCTCTCAAGTGCTAGGATTACAGGTGTGTACCACTATGCCTATTACTTCTCATGTCATTGAATTATCCTTTTCAGAATATATAAAAGAGCAGATAATTGTGTAGGCTTGGTGTGTGTTTGATAAAGGAGATATAGATATGTTTTGTAAGCATCCTTATGAATATTCTGATGTTGCTGTTTTACAGAGACTTTTGTTAGCTTTTTGTGTCTTTTTGAGCTCCTTGTAGCCCCAGCTGACCTGGAACTCACTGTGCAGACTAGGCTGGCCTTTAACTCACAGAGATGCACCTGCCCCTGCTTCCTGGGTGCTGGGATTAAAGGTGCATGCCACCATGCCTGGTGCCCAGGTGTGTACTTTATACTTAGTGCTTATCTCACTTGTGGCACTTGAAAATCAACTCACCCTATGTGCTTAGTGGCTGCTCCATTGGTCCACATCTACATGTGGACCTGCACGTGTATAGTACCTGTCCCTTTGACATGTGCTTCAATATGTTTTCCCCACCTTTCCTGCCTCTCCTAGTATGGAAAATTTCACCATGTCCTATGACATAGGTTGATTCTGGATCCTATACTGGGTGAAATGCGAGGTCTGTGGAAGTAGTCCATGTGCCTTTGGTGTATAGACATCCAGGAGATGGGCTGGGAGGGTAGGTGTAATCCTAAGAAGAGGATGGCACAGGACATGAACAGCAAGCCATTCTGTGCACATACTGAGCAGCTTATAGAGAGGTCAGTGGTATGCAGAAGCTATGTGCCTTTAGCCACCTGGGTCACAGATTCTGTCCTCCTGTAACTGCTTCCACCGCAACCTTAATGTAGCTATCTGCAAACTACTTCCTGAACTCAAAGAGTTTATGGACTTTGGATGAGCTGGTGAGTTTCTGGCCCTCATCAAGCAAATGTTAGCTACAGAGAAGTTCAGAGGCAACATAATAATATTTAGTTTTTAAGGTTTTATTTTGCCTTTGGTTTCAGAGATGGGTATGGGAGTTGTTGAGACAGAGTCTCACTTTCTGTAGGATGGGTTGGCCTGGAACTCACTATGCAGCCCACTCTGGCTTCCAGCATGAAGCTTGGAGAAAGAAGTGGGAGGGAGTATGAGAAAGTCAGTGGGGAGGCTGTGGGGGTGGATCTGATCAAAATACAATTTATATATGTATGAAATTCTCAAATAATTAAATATCCTAGCCAAATACAAGCATCCTTTGCTGTTTTCATAAAATCAGATAAAGTTGCTTTTACTTCATTCTAATAATATTAACTTGAGCTGTGTATTTTACCTGTGTAAGCTTTGTTTGTGAGCTGGCCTGGGACACTATGTACATTTATAGCATTGGGACTTTCTTTCTTTCTTTCTTTCTTTCTTTCTTTCTTTCTTTCTTTCTTT